TAGGAAAAGAAAACCACACGTGGCTACATACCTAAACATATCTCATAAAGCATTACTTGTAAGCAAGCTGAAGTTGCGCTGGCAGTTTTGAACCAGTCACTCTTAACACTAAGTGCTAGATTTCTTTATGTTAAAAAACGCTCTTTTCAGCATCTTTGCTGGATACAGTTTAAATAACAATTTTATTTACAAAAGATCCCAAAGTATATTTAAGATTACCAGTTTAAAGGATCTCCTATGGGACAGAAAAAGCAGTCCATTCAGCTCAACTCAGTTTACATGTTAAGAACATATCCCTCAAATTGGGTCACACTACCTGAGCTGTGACAGGCCCCCTCTTTTCTCCCACTGTGGCACTGGGAATGGCCGTAGTTCGCAACTTCAGCTGGGAAAAGATGCTCATAACCGGGGAGGAGGGACATGGCAAACACACACACACAATTATTCTTTCTGCCAGGATATGGATCTTGAGCCTGTGATATAGGACATCCTGTAATTCACAGGATGAGCAGCAACCCTGAATACATTAAGAATTTGATGTATTGTGGTTATCTCACCTAACCTGTAGGCTAGCATAGGGAACCTGTCAAGAAGATTTGTACATAGGGCTGCCTAGGAGAGAGTTACAACAGATACTATGTTCAGCTAACACTGAAAGGCACGTATCCTCTGGGTCTGACAGTGAGTTAGGTGGCTATCCTGTGGAGAGAAGAAAAAAAAAAAAAAGTATTCTTCTGTTTAACAGGCATAAATAGACAGGAATTGGTCCCAGTCTAACATGACAGGGCACAATGCACTCTCTGGCAGGGCAGGGTCCAGGTGTCCTGCCCAGACTCCGTTTCAGAAGGAAGAACCCCACTTCTTGTACCACCCAAAGCCTTTTTTTTTTCTGCCCCACGTTCAAATGGAAACAAGGCCTAGATCTAAAGCATTCTGATGATTTAATCAGATCGTAGCTCATAATAGGCACAGGGCTGAACAAAACCCCTCCTGACAGGAAACTCAGCTGTGACCTACTTGAACATACATGAAGTTATACCCTATGTGTGGCAAAGTGGTACCCATTCATACATCCGCTGAGAAGAGAAACGTGAATGAGGAAAAGCAGGAGTGCCAAGAACGCATTCGCCCAGGTCCCATGTACCTCAGCACACTGCAGCCTTTTTTTTTTCCCCCCACCTTTCCCTTGTTCCTGCGTTTGTTTAATGTCACATACAATTTTTATCTTAAGAGCTGAAATGGGGCAGCCTAGTTGGCAGCCTACTGCTTTGCCTCAGAAGAGGGACTGTGACTGCAAATGTGGCCAAACGCTTCTCTTTCCCGTCATGAAGAGCTGAGTCCCACGGCTGCCCTTGGCAGATGGGGAACAGCTCTCGTGCATCAGCAGTCAGCCAGGTTCAGGCTCTCCCAGAGAGGCTCCTATCTCTGCAGCATGCCCCCAAAAAGCATCTCTCCTGACCATGGTACCAAGGCTGGACCACACCAAGCTAGGCATGAGCTTTACTGAACTGCCTAGAATACAGGACAGAGACATCCAACCAAGATGCCTCTTTTCATCAATGTTATTTTCCTCCTAAAATTTTGGGTATTGTCAAAAACAAAGACTTCTCCTAGGTGATGTAATTTTTCCTAAGAAAGGTAAACCCTACTCATGATGGACAAACCTACTCCTAGGAGATTTCTGCTACTCTTCCAGAGATTTCATGATCCCACTTGAACACAGCAGCCTCTTCACTGTGCTTGCAAGGAATGAACCTCTCCTTACTCCATCTCACCTCCATGTGTAAGAAATTGTAAAAACCCACTCCCCTCCCTGCAAAGTATCTCCTACAATGAGACTCATCTCCCCACATGTAAGAAGTCTATCTGTTTTTCAAGGTTTTATCTCACATGGTATTTTCTCTGACTCTGAATCACGGCCCATGTGGCTGAGCAAGGGAAGGGGATGACTGAGAACTGCCGGAGCTGTAATGGCCACAGGGCAGTGGTCAATCACACGCCTCTGCTCCCCAGTTCCTCTTCTTCCATGCCAGAAAAAGGACCTGCACGTCCACCCAAACACTGGCTTTCCTCACCTACACCCTGCTTTCTTTCCTAATGCTGTTTTCTTAAAAAAAAAAAACAAAACAAAAAAAAAAAAAAAAAAAAAACACAAAACAAAACAGACCAAAAGCAGCAGAGTAGAATGCTCCTCTGCCTGAGGGCCAGCAGAACAAACCAGTGATTTGCCTTTAGAAGTAACACCCTCTGTTAACAAAAATATATTTCTTGATATTTGAGTGACCACTTGTTAAAATGCAGGTGCAGTTTCACTGGTTTCTAGAGAGCTGTGCCCCATTATAGCAGTAGTATCTCTAATGTCTAGTGCTAGCACGAGGCCCTGGCCAGCAGAATTACTGTAAACTGGCCTCATCTCTTCAGTGAGGACAGTGAGGCTGCAATCAGTGTACTGAGGGCCCTTCCCCTGCCTTTTGCATAACAGAGGAAGCTATGGGTATCAGCAGGTCATTTAATGAACTTCATCACTCTCAATTCCACAGTGTAACAACTGACTGACCTTTGCTGTCAGTTTTTAGCCAATGTATTAGTAATTCTGTACAAATAGATGCATCTATGTAATAATAAAAGTCTATAGCACAAATCCAAAAATATATGATGAATGTTGTCCAGAGGCACATATGTTTCTTGAAATAAAAAAAATAAAAAAATTTAAAAAAAACCACAAAACACCACCTCAGGCCTTCTTCTCCATGCCAACCTTTACCTCATTCTGCCTGAGTACTGCTTTCCAGATCTTTTGATTTTTATACTGGTACGTTTCTTATCCTATTTCTGCAGAAGAGAAGTTGTAGACTACTACAACTGATTCTTCAGCATACACACACTTGCCTTTTTTAAAAGCACAGTTCCAAATTCATCAGTGAAAAAGTAATAGGTTACTGAAAAAAAAAAAATCAAAACAAGGAAAAATAGAAAAACATCTTAGAGGTCAATGGTTAACAGGAGCTAAAGACACTTTTTCCATGATCTTTGCATTGACAGCAGGAAGCACAGACCCATTGTCTAAGAAACAGAAAATGTTTCACACATTTGAGATAAATATTTGTAGGAAACTTACACCATTATGCACCTTATCTTGTGTATACAGTTTATAAGCTAACATAACACAGAGAGAATTAAATCTGTAACAGGTTGCACCTACATTTGATGGAGGGGAAGACTTTTCTTGATGCTTCCAAGCAATTCTGTGAAAGTAACCACTTCCCAGTTATTTTAACTTTAATTACAGGATACTACACTATCACGGCATTTCTGAATACAGTGTTATTTCAGGGCAAGATGAAACAATATGGAGCTGATACTGTTTTATCAGCTCCATTTTCTTTTTCTCCCTTGTCCGACATTGTAGGCAGTCAGCCAGGTTACTGGCTACATTGCAATGCCAAATCCACAATACCAAGCCCATATCTAAGAATTAAAAAGTAACTTAACTGAGGACATAATTCTAGGTACCTCACAACCAATGGTTTTAAAAGATTTTTAAAATTCTACATTAACATAAAAAAAAAAAGTGGTACTCCTATAAATTTTGCAGGGTTTATAAAATCAGGTTTGGCAGCTGAGAACTAGAGTTACTTCATGACAGAGGTCTAACTGGCAGTATGTTTTAATTATGTGAACTCCAAAACCTGGTTTTTGATTTTCACATCTGTGAGATTATCTCATTTAAAAGAAAAAAGGAGAAAGTAACCAGGTGCCAAATGCAACCACATTGCTCTGTATTCAGTGGTTTCAGCAGGCAAGCTCACACAGAAATCATTTGGTTCAAAACACTCATAATATTCACTTAGAAATTTAGCAGAACATGTAAAGCACCCTTTCATTGAGGACTAAATGCAGAGACAAATGTGATTATTTCACTATAAAATGCAATTTCTCAATAAATAAAACATGTAAAACAAAAACTAGAGAAATACAAAGACTACCAAAGGAGAGTCCGATAGCAAATGGGCTCTTCCTTGCTGTAGTCCCCTTACAAAACACAACCATCAAAAGGCTATGAGTAGCACCCTGCCTGGGAGGTGCCTCCCCACCTACAAGAGCAGAGCCCAGGAAACAAGACCAGGCCACCCAAAGGGCCTCTCCTGCCCGGCTGGCACGATCTGAGCAGCAGAGCTGCTGTGCTGGGAGGAAAGAGGAGCATGTGCAAAATCACTCTGGGTACTCCCTCAAGCGTAACTGGGAGACTGTTCGTATGGGTGCTGCTTTCTCATGGCCCGAAATACCATAAACATTTGGATGGCAGCCGTAAGTAAGAATCCATCGTGCAGTCACTGGAGAGTTCTGAGAACTTGAATGGCGATACTGCACCCTAGAGCCACGCTGTATCAAAGCCGAGACAGACAGATAAAGCATCAGCAACATCTACAACCTGCATTTCTGCTATGGTCAGTTTTTCCATCTAAAAAAGCCACAGTCTCGCTTATTTGACTCTTAAAACAACATAAATTATTTCAGATCAGCGTCTGTCACGGTAAGGTACACATCTGCCATTCCAAGCGGAAAGCTCATGGCCATGTCTACACTAAAAGCTCACTTTACAGTTCAATTATTGGTTCCAATTCATAAGGATGCAGAAAGAAAGCCCATGGAAAAGCACCACCAAATCACCTAGCCACCCACTGCATGAGCTGTGGGCGTGCTGCATCCCAGCACAAGGTACTGCCAAGAAGGGACAAGCACTCCGTGGGACACAAAGCAGGGGGAATTATTAAGATGGCTGAACTCACACACAAGGCTAATTGTGCCTTGAGATGAGGTGGGACAGTCTTAGTAAAGCACGGTAGTTACACGGATATAAGGAAAAACTCAGAGAGGAAAGTCACGTAAACAAGGAAATACTCGGCAACTGTTAGCTTCAACCTGGAGCTGGCAGCCTGGGCTACAACCCATTATAATACGCAAATTACAGCAGTTTTGAGCAAAAGTTTAAAATTCACCTTTTGTCGGAGCTCCCGCTTGCGGATCCGTGTGACACTTGGCCGTCGAGGAAGGAACGCCTCTGCTCTTGCGGCGTCGCACCCGTTTTAAATTGCGAACAGCGGGTGCTGCAGGCTGCGCTCCATCAGCCGCCGCCGGGCCGGGGGCCGCCGAGCACCGGCGGGGCTGAGCACCGGAGAGGGGGCTGAGCACGGGATTGGGGGGGGGCTGAGCCCCGGGGAGGGGGCTGAGCACGGGATTGGGGGGGGGGGGGGGGAAAGGGGCGCGGCCTCGGCTACCTGCACTGAGGGCAGCCCCAGCTGGCAGGGCAGTGAGATAAACTCGATAAACTCTTCCCCCCCCCGCCCCGTCTTTTTGTGGGGACGGCCCCGCTGCTCTCCAGCCCCGGCTCCGCCTTACCTGGGTGTCCCGGCCGCCGCGGAGGGAGGTGGAAGGAGGGAGGTGGAAGGAGGGAGGTGGAAGGAGGGAGGTGGAAGGAGGGAGGTGGAAGGAGGGAGGTGGAAGGAGGGAGGTGGAAGGAGGGAGGTGGAAGGAGGGAGGTGGAAGGAGGGAGGTGGAAGGAGGGAGGTGGAAGGAGGGAGGTGGAAGGAGGGAGGTGGAAGGAGGGAGGTGGAAGGAGGGAGGTGGAAGGAGGGAGGTGGAAGGAGGGAGGTGGAAGGAGGGAGGTGGAAGGAGGGAGGTGGAAGGAGGGAGGCCCCGCTCCGGCCCGGGAAGGCGGCGGCGGCGCCTCCTCCTGACCCCCCCGCCGATCGCGGCTCTTGGCGGGGCAGCCCCCGCTCCCCGGCGGCGGCAGCAGCGCCGGCCTGGGTGGGGTGCGGGGAGGCGAGGGGGCGGCCCACATCGAACAGACCCGGCAGGAGCTGCCCGGAAAAGCGTCGGTGAAGTAAAAGTGAAATTAAACAACTCGGAGCGGGATGCGAACTCTCTCCCCAAAACCTAGGCGTGCGCGGCCCCAGCTGGCTTTAAAATGCGTGTCACCGGCGCTTAGGGCTCAGGTGTTTCTCGTCGCAAACCGCGATGAAGCGAGCGTTCCCAGGGCTGTGCCGGGGGGAAGCGGTGGGCACAGCGCTCCCCCAGCCCGGGCAGGCTGGGCGCCCTCGGGCTGCTGCTCTGTCATGCCCATGGCAGATCTGCTCATGCCCGGGTGGCCCCCGGGGTTACAGTGCCTCTCCACACACTTAACCACGTGTAAGGGCCACAGCCACCCACCCCAAAGCTCAGACACTCACCTACAGCCCGAGTAACTGAAGGTGGCTTTTTGCACCCATCAGGAGACTGTACTGAACTTCAGACTTCAGGGTCTATAGTAAGATGTCACCCAGGCTTTCTTCTTTACCTCCTTCTCTTAGCCCAGCCTTACCTATAGAAGCTGTCAGTCTGCAAAACCTCATTGAGAGAAAAAAAAGCTTGTAAAGTTCAGTAGAAATATATCTCTCATGTTGCTAAGGGTCAGTCTAGAGCAAAGCAAGCAGGGTCTGTGCTGCTTGCAAGCGAGTTGTTTTGTTGTGACTAGGGCGTAATAGCTGGATCGACACAGATGTCATTCTGTTCTCCTCAGAGGAAATGACTTACAGAGTCTTTGTTTTCACTTAGGGGATTTCCTCCAAATTACTCTTTTGGTCCTATGGCCACATCTGCCATGCCCACCACACTACTGCTGAGCCCAGGGAGCCACAGGGTCACATCCCTCGTGCGTGGGGCAGCGCTGGTATAAGCACACGGGCAGTGCCCATGCGGTCACTTCATGGTGACCAGTCCCACCAGCCCGCTCTCACCACCCTCCTTCCACTCCATCCCCACACGTTTGTAGTAGCACACACTCAGGTGTCCATGCAGAGCTCCTTGCCCACTGCCACTGATGTGCTCCCTTTTGCAAGGCAGGCAACTTTTGCTTTGTTTTTCAAGCAACTGTAACTGCAACTTTCCTTGCTCTGGCTGCTGCTGCTGTGGCAAGAGGGAAGGACAATAAAACTGAACAGTTGCTTAAGGAAGGGCTTGGAACAGATTTGCCCTATAAGGTGACATTTCTGAGCTCCAGAAAGAAGTGTTGTCCAGCGGAAAGCAGTGACTTGAACATCAACAGCTACAGTACAGCTAGGACTTCACCCCAGAGCTGCAGCAGAAGCAAAGGGACAGCAGAGCACATCTCCATGGTCCAAAGGACGTGGCTATTGCTGTGCTGATGGTGACCTTCTTACAACTACTGATCAGCAATTAACCACTTTGATGTCAATCAGTCGACTAACAGAGCATTTGTGGTACAGGTCTGGATCACAAGTGTTTTTGCAAGCTTTATGAAGCTTGCCAGTTCTCAGTCCTGAAAATGCTGTCTCTTCCCCTCCAAACTTCTTCTACCATGATGGCAGATAAAGACATCAGCAGGACAGTGGGATCAAAGCAACTACAAAATGACACTGCTTCTGAGGACAGGGACATGCCTCTGAGGGACTGAAGAGGTTTGGTCACTGCCTGAGGGCTGAGCTCTGACTACCTGTGCTTGCCTTGAATTGTAGCTGCCCTGGGCTGGACGGCAGCTCTGAGAGCAAGGAAAAGAGCTCTGCAAAGGCCAGGTGGTGAAGGATGAATATGTGCTTAGCAGCCTTCAGGAAAACCTCTTAAATGCATGCTGAGCATATGCATTGAGGAAAGGCTCAAATGCTCTCAAAAGCTTTGGGGAAAACTCCGGGAAATCTTTCCAAAAGCCTTGGGCAAAAAGCATTGCTTATCATTCTGTGTGGCTTCTCACAGCTTGGTGAGCAGGGCAGCACCGTGCATTTGGATTTCTGCTGCACAGTTTTGGTTTCTCATGGCCTGTATGCCTTCACCCTCGTTAAACAGAGCAAGTGATCTGCTTTCAATTTGAGAGACATGCCAATCCCTGCACAGTGCCAGGGCTGAAGAATTACTGGGAGAAGGAGTTTTCATTTTGAAGGAGGGTTTTGTTTTCCTTTTGCATTTCATAAATATCTAAAAGTGCCCATCACCAGGGCTACTAATATGTCCTGACCTAATGTATTTAAAGAGCAAAAGTAATTTTCAAATATCAAGCTTCTTTTATACATCTGTATACATTTTAGAGCCAGGTGGGGGCTGAGCTTTCCATTCAGCTGAATGTTTTGTCTTCAGGATTGAAAAACAAAACAAAACAAACAAAAAACAACACTTTGCAGAAAAAGCAGCAAGTTGGAACCAAAACTTATTTCATTTCCCTAAAATTTCAAATGCAGAAATGTTATGCAAACGTGGGGAACGCAAAAAGGAAGGGATGTTTCATGTCTTTGGTTCTATTTCCAGAAGAGCTCAGTGTTAACTTGCTGTTTCCATCATTTATCTCCTTTATCTTAGAAGTTCAGGACCCCTGTGGACTGGGGTGGGTGTAACATCAATCCTACCTCTGGGCTGCAGGGATCGAAGCACTAGTTGACTGAATCTTTTCCGTGGTAAGCCCTCAGGGACTCAGTTAACTGAAACGCCATAGTGATCTTGCTCCAGTTTTGGACTAAAGTCACTCAGCTCCCAGAACAGTTGATTTTGCTCTACTACAACGGAAGTAAGAGCAGTGAAGAGTTCTTGTGGCAAACCACCCCTCTCTAGGAGGAAGTCTCCACTTGGGGAAAGACTGAAATTTCAGGCCCACATGTAGCATAAAGTACCAAAGAGAGAAAGAAAAGTATACAAGTTGGACAGCAACTTTGATAGACCGTCATTTCCAGAAGTTATTCACCTGTTTATGATTCATCATCTCATGGTCCATGTCCGTTCTCTCTTTGGAGACAGTGTTGGTCATTTGGGTGGGGTCTTGAGTCTGAAAAGCCCCTTCTCTGCAATCTTTCTTGTCAGAGAAGCATCTCTGTGGGTCCCTTGGCCACAGATAGGCTCTTCCTCTTTTTCCTTTTCATGCCCATCAAAACTTCTTCACCCTATTCAGCCCTCTTTCACTTCTTAGAGGCTTCTGTCACCAACCATTTCCTCTGTCTACTTCTCTTCCCTCACTTGCTGTGGGCAGAAATAACAAACAAGATTTTCTCTCACTCTCAATAGAGAAACCTGTGACTGAGAGAAAAATTACAGTCATTCTTCATTATCTGGTTTTCATATCAGAAAATGTGCTGCTTTTCCTTTCTCCAGAGCTTTTTCTTAGTTTTGAGAGATTTTGGGGGTGATAATTTAGTTGCACCACTGAAAGTAACTTTAAACAGTAGAGTGTAATACAGACCTACCATAAAATATTCTTCATTGCTGTTGATATTGTTTTCTTGATGGTGGATTGAGGGACCAGCAAAATAACTGAAAACCACAGGAACAGTATTTGAACAGGGCTTGTTTAGGAGAAGAGAAACCAGGAGGCTGGGGAGCTATGGGCTCTCTGTCTGGCAGACCAGCTTGCAAGGTGGGTATGGACTGCTGGCAAACACTTTGAACATGTTTTGGGAAGATTTTAACTGGGAGCTGGAGAGCAGAACTCAGTCAGGTACCTCTTCATGCTGTGTTTTTTTGATCCTGCCACACTTGGTGACATTGGGCACACCAGTCACATTCACAATGATGTGTAGATCAATAATGTAATTCTCTACCAAAGTCCTGCCCAACTTCACAGAGGTCCATGTTTTGTCTCCTGCTTCCCTTTGAGGCAGCTGCTAAGTCCTCAGATTTAAGGCAGTGCTATAGCATGCCTTTAAACTAACAACAAAGTTTTAACTCAAAGTCTAAACAAAAATATCTGTCTTTTGACATCTGGGCTCCAAAGTTTCTTGAATTTTTAGGTGTCCTCAGGGAGTTGACAAGTCCAAGATCTCAGCATGACTCCAGTAGCTCACATGACCAGAAGGCTTAATGTCACGATAGAAAAAAGGCTGGGTATGATGACTGTCAAAGAGTGCAGCAACAAACCAGCTCACATGCAAACAATTAAAGAAGAGCTGGGCCATCCCATTATCAGAGACCAAAGAGCAATAGAGGATAGACAGGTAAACACTCACTCCAGGCTTGGACAAGAGCAGTATAGGAAGGTATTAGAAGGAGCACCAGAAGAATTTTGTACAAACGCATCACGACCAACACAAATATTACACAAGGAAACGTACTGAAAAGGTTTTTTTAATGTACCAGATAGTAATGAACATGCCAGAATAATTCACCAGTTGCTTAACAGTGAGAAATACATCTTGCATATGCAAATCTACAAGAGTGCAGTAAAAATTTTGCCCAGTGTATTACAAAGACTACCATTTAAACCTACCATTTATGCCTACCATTAGATGAGAAGAAAGGGCTTTCAAGATTTGGGGGAAAAAGAGAAAGAAGAGAGATTGTGCAGATCCCTTGTGCCCCTGAAATTATTTCTACCTTCTGACTTGTAGTCACATAGAATAGCTGGGCAAAGTAAGTACCAAAATATTACTAGGAAAGGAATGGGTAAAATAAATATGTGAATAGACCTTGACAGGTAAGCTAACTTTCACAGCTAGTAATACTGAAGTTAACTAGTTTATAGCTATCTCAGATATATTTAAAGGAGCTACATTAATCTCACTTAACTTCTCACATTTAATACGAATGTCTGTACATAGAATTATCATCTAGACTCATTTCAAAGAGAGAATTCAGCACTTTTGGAGATCAATTCATCTAGTCTGTTTATTGTAGGATAAGATGAATTGCCCATGGGCAGGTGTCCTAACTAATCATTAAAGGCATGACCACTATATCAGGTATTTAGTGCATCTTCATTGTTGACTTTTGAGGCTAGAGAAGATTAATTTAACATGCTTTCCAGTTTAAGCATACCCACAGAACTCCCTACTGCAGCCCACTGTGGCAGTATCCTCTATAGCTTTCTAGTGGGAAGCAAATAGCAAAGTTCCCCCCAAATTTCCACGCTGGCTCAGGCCAAGAGTCTCCAACATTGACTAGAACTTGGCACCTCAAACTAAGATGTCAGTAGGTCCTGAGATGGGGAGTTGTAGCTCTAGATAAAGTCTCATGTGAGTCTCAAACAGTGAGACAACTCCTTAAACTCTGAAGCATGTTTTAATTTCTTTGCAGAATATTCATAGTTTAGTTTTGGCTGTTAAAACACTGGGTATTCTTGTTATCCATGTAACAGGCTTCCTTTTTAATCTAGCCAAATTTGCTGATGCCCATGGCAATGCGTTCCATGGTCTAACTGTGCATTTTACCAACATTATTTCCCTTCCAGCCTTTAATGTCATTTTGTCTCTATTTTATCCTATCTGTGAAACAGAGATAAAGATTTTGTTCTTCTTTTTCTATGTAGCTAAGTCAGGGGAAAAATTACCAAGGGTGACAGAGAGGAGGAGAATAGACTATGGCCTCCCAAATGCCTTCTCCCCTTTCTCCCAGGAAATCCATGTATGCGAGAGTTTCAAAGTCAGAAATACCAAAATGAATACCTCTGTAGTTTTATGTCAGAACACTTGTGTGTGTGCATCCTGATGCAATATTTCAGTACACAACCACATTGTTTCCCCTGTTTTCTTCTCCACTCATCTGCTTCCTCATTCAGGAAGGATAAAGTTTATTAAATAATTGATTCTTCAGTTTTTTTCCTTTAGATATCTCACAGGCACCCCTAAGCTTTCTTCTTCTGTGCATTTTTTGAAGCTTACTTTGAGGAAATCTTTGATATATTCCTGGGATTTTCTATGGCATCTATCACTATAAATAAGTGGAATGAATCACCTCCAGCCTTTAAGAGATGTGGTGTAAGGGGGGTACAATTAAGGTCTGCAAAATCTTGAATGGGATGGTAAGGGTGAATAGGAAGGTGAAAGGGTATCTCTTCTGTTTCAAGAGCTAGAGGTTCTCCAGTGAAGCTGGTAAGAGCTAGACTGAAATCAAACAAAAGCAGACTGTTCACCATGCAGCAGCCATAAGATGTGTGGAACTTTATGCTTTTCAAATTATCTTGTAGATGAAGTAGATCGGATGGGTTTCAAGAGAGACACTTTGAAGAGGGATCTGTTGAGAATCACCAGACAAACACAACACGACAGATCCAGGAAGCCTTCTGAGACAGATCCTTGAGGAATACTTGTATGAAGGTGTCATAAAGGCTTGCCCTATTCTTGTTTTACCCTGGCCATTTATATGTGGTCACTATAGAAGGCAAGTTGCTGGGCTGGATGGATCCTACCTTTCACAGATACGAATAAATGTATTTTTACAACAGACCTGTATGTTATTACTGCAATATTTATTGCCTGTCCACAAGCCATCACAGTTACTCAGTAAGGTTGTCCTGGCACTTTCCCCACCACCAACTAATCTGCACCTTGCACAGCCCATGACTTATTTCTCAGTCTTCCATAGAGGGCAGTCAACCTTCTTTCTTCCTCCAAAGCCTTTACTGCTGCAATAGGTTGAAATTCATGAAAAGTAAGAAGTGAGATAGAAGCAACATGATCTTCCACTGAGGTCCCTACTCAGCTGTGACATTTAAGAGGCACTACATGTCTTTGAGGAAATAGATATTTCCTACACAGAAGGTGATGTATTTGCCAGTGCCAGCTACAAAACTCGTGACTGCTGTGTTTCAATGAGTCCATGCATACATCTCCAACATAGCTGTGCTTTGGGATATATGATTCCCAGCCAGGTCCAAAAGTGAAAACTGGAAATACAAGAGGTTATGTAATTTTTTATTGGCAAGTCCCATCTCCATGATCATCAAAAAGATCTGCAAGGACATATATCATCTGACCTACTCTTTGAAGCAACAGACGATTCCAATGCAGGGCTAGCTTATAACTACAGTCATTTAATCCCATCATGTTCTGAGAACCCAGTGGTCATGAAGTGATCTGGGCACACCAGCACCAGACATGGAATACCAAGCACTGAAATACAGGGAATCTGGGATTTTAAGACAATGCTTAGGATACTGTAGCATTTTGGGTTATAAAAATTGCCCAGCATAAGACATCTGTGTGTGAGCTGTGATTATAACCTAGGCTTCTGGAGCAGCAATGATCCATATGCATCACTTGTCCTTGCTCTGATCATCATCTCCTCCAAGGATTCCCCTCTAAAGACTTTTATTTCTGGTCTAGGCAGCCAGCTTCTCTGAGTGAGAGGTCCCAGCTGCTTCAGCTAGGACACTGAGAAGGGGGAGGACTGTGACCTACCATGACAATAACCCTCACTGATCCAGCTGGGATTAACCTTCCTGCAGATTCCAGATGATTTTCACCATGATGAGTTTTTATTCTTTCAGTGTTAATTGTTGTCAGCTGATGCCAGATTTTCCTTTGGCATGGACAGTTATGCCACCTGAGATTCTGGGATTTTCATATCCACAGTCTAGTCAGGAGTGATAAATCAATGAATGCTAACTCCATATAGGAAAAAGAAGCTGGGGAGACCCATTATCAAACATTCAGGTGTAAAATTCACAAGAATCTGCAAGGAATATTAATGCAGTTATTGATCTAAGGGTCAAAAGGTAGAAGAAATGTATATCAGGCTGAATTAGCCTTCAAAGACCCATGCATAAACCTCTCTGAAGCTACTGGACCCATAAATTTGCAAAAGGCTTTGCTAAACTTCTTTAATAAGTGGTGGGCCTGCCTGACCACAACGTTTGGTAAAATCATGTAACTATAAACATTTGCCAAATCTTTCTTTCCTCTTTCTCTCTGCTACTGTATAACGCTGCAGTGCAACTTGCCATAACCCAGCGAGTTAAGAACAGGTCCCTATCTTCGGTACAGTGCAGCCTGATTTGAGTGGTGGCTTGATGTGCTGATGTAATAAAGTGACAGGAACACTTTACACCATACACAGGGTATGAACAGTAGTGCTGGGAGCACGTTGAAGCTCCTTGCTAGTACCAATATAAAGAATAGCTACCTAAAAAAGCAAGGATGTGGACTAGGGTGTTGGGCTGCTCAGCTCTGGTGGTTTTCAGCTTGTGGTCCCTGCTAGATGCTTCTCAGGGGACCCACAGGAGGTAACAAAGAAGGGCTGCACTTCATTTGGTAGGATCGTCTCTCTGAGAATCCTTAGATCTGAAAAACACTGCCCTGCCAGCATCAGAGTGGCATGGAGGCAGTGTGGACTATCTGCAGCATGTAGCTACCAGGAGCCTCGAGCAAAAATTGTGGTGAAGTGACAGTGCAGGGTGGCCTGAGACACTGTGGTAACACCGAATGTGGATTAGAAGCCTCATGCATGGCTGCTAAGGAAACAGAATAAGCCTGCCTCAAGAGACAACTCTTAGGGTCCAAAAGCAAGTTTAGCCTTCAGGTGGCAGGGCAAAACTTAATCAACGGGTATGGGTGTTACAGTGAACAGATTCTGAGCTCAGCAAAACTGGAATTTCACAGCTGACTTCAATGGAGTTACACCAAATTTGTAGAAAAAAAAAGATGAAAGCAGATTTTCACTTCAGGATGTGGTCTGTTTAGCTAGAATATACTATTGAAAAGCAGGTGGTCAATGTGTAATTTTAGCTTGTACATAAAGTCTCATATGAGACTCTGTGTAGACTTAGAACACAAAGCAAAAATGTAAATATAACTTTTCTCCCTCAGGAGACATGAATATTGCTCCATTTACAAGAGGTTTGTATCATTGTGTTAAATAACCATGTTACACTGATTTCGTTAGAAGTAGCTAAACCACTTTGATAAGAAGGCTATCATGCCAAAACCCTAATCCCCAAGAGAATCTCAGATTCTGATTGTGGAGACATTACTGTAGATATATTTCTAGTGAAATTGTTCTGAATTTACACATAGGTCAGAATATGGCTTTGCTTATGGAGCCTTAGTGTATTTGGGATTTCCTAACACAGTTGCAAACTGAAGGATAAAATATATCATGCATCCAGCTGACTTTGTAAGACCACTTCAACAAATGCAATCAGTAGTATGACAACAGTCTTCAGTCCAAACATTTTGCCACATGACCTTAATTTATGCCCTTATCAGGCTGACACACCAGTAACGACAGTTCAGAGTAAAGCCACTTTGATAACTACCTACCTGGATTTATTCTACAGTGAACTTGACATCCTGCATTCACCCTGAAAACCATTTTTCCAGTCTTCATTGACAGTCATTAATGTTATATATTGTCAAAAGAGTTGCAGCAAATTGTATTTGTTTTGTTATTAAGGGATTAGTAACTTAATGTTAAAAGGTTTTATTTAACTGATACTCACTTTTCAAATAACATTTACCAGTTAAATAAAGTAGGGACAGAGAACTTTTTTTGTCTAATTTAACCCCCTGCCATGGAATTCCACTGCTGTGAGAAAAGCTGAGAGGAGATGAATGTTGCATCCTTTGCAATGTCATGTCCACAGCTATGGTCTTGATGAAAACAATTCTACATCTTCATTGTTCCTAAAAGCCCTTAAAATTGAGGTAGCTAGGGAGCCTCAAGTGATATAATAAGGAGGGCATTTCCAATTCATGCCTTATTCCTGCTTTCTTGCAACCTTCTTTAATTCAAGACTAAGCCTGATCTTGTTCTGTTTGAAGTCCAGCTTTCTAACAGTTTTTCAGATCCAACATAGACTGCAAATATGGTGCTTAATAGATGTATGTGTGCATGTATGTGCACGTATAGACACAGAGATACAGACGCATGCGCATGCACACGCAATTTGTAATACAAGTATTGAAAGACAAGTTATAACAGTGCAATTTGGTCGATCAACTTGAACTGCAGAAATATGACAATATGAACAACAGACAATAATCTTACTTCTGCCTAATTAGCACCCCCTGATGCTTCATTTGATTCTGCCATAAATCCAGTATTTACAGAGAACTATTTAGCTATCACTGCTTAGATGCTTAACTCAGGAAAAATCAACTCTGATGAGCACTAAAAGCATTTTTTAAAAATAATAATAAAATTCTCTGGAGAAAACCTAATGTTTTTCTCAAACTTTTCTTGCCAAAATGCTTATGAGAAAGGAAGACTGTAAGTCCCTTGCCTTCATGTGTTTCTTTGTTCTAATACACAGACATGTCACTAGTAAGGGATGCTTGTGCCATGACTACGAATGGGCTGACCCATTACTATCTAGCCTCACATTTGGCTTGTGAACAATAGTAGGAACTGAGCCCATAGAAAATATCTTACTCTCACCAGCTTGACACATTGTTTGAGCTGGGAAATCGAGACAAACTGCTACATTCTTGGTTAAAAATAAGAGACCTTTGAATTTTCTCTTTACTCTGAACTTTCCACCAAGGATAGATTTTTGTCATTTGGGCACATCTTTCGAGGTCTGAATATAGCTTAGCTTTTATGTAGGGCTTTCTGTACTTAAAGAATTCTGCAGCACTGGAACAGCCTCAGACCTGTTAACAAAGGAAGTGAAAAATGTGTCTTATTGCACCAGACACCAGCACCCTACCATGTCCTAGTGTGGGGGCTTGGTTGTGATGGGGGCAAGACAGTGTTAGCGCAGGTGCCTCAGCCCAAGACAACTTCCTTCTCCTGGAGGAAGTCTATTCTTGGTTCATATTTAACTCTAGAGCACCACTGACTGCAGCCACACCTGAGCTGAAGCTGTCCCATCTATTTAGATTTTGCATCCTCCACAAATCACTCACAATGAGTGACTCAGCCTTTCCACTGAGCAACCAAGGCATTTGGAAGGTCACAGCTCACTGGCACGCTCCAAAGATTGTTTCAAGCTGCAAATGATAAAATCTGTTAAATTGCGTGTCTACGAATTACAATACTGCAAGGAGCCGGGGATATTTACAGAGAAAGATTCATATAGAAGGTAACTTCTAATAAAATGTACATGTGTTGAGCTTGTTATTGTCAAGCCCTCGATAAAGGGATTTTTCGTGAAGGTAACTACAAGTTCAAATATTATTTCTTTATTTCAAACTTGGTAGAGAAATATCATTATTTAGAATTGTTACAAATTTGATATTCTGCATGACAACAAGGTAGAATAGCTCTATTGTTATGGTACTTACCATGTTATAATACCTCAATTTAGCATTTTGACCGAAGCCAAATACATACATATATAAATATGTATATTTAAAAATAGATTTAAAACTACATGTCAGTGGACACTTACAACACGTTATATGTACTGGCACACTCATAATTATCACATACATTAACAAAAACCAACAATGAATCTGTAAGTTTGCAACTTACCTGAATTACAAAAGGACCTGAGAGGGCCC